ATGTTTTTGTAGAAGAGGAGAAGGAAGACCAATTATGGATGTTGTCTTGTGCTGAGCAGAATCTGCAGTGAGAGGCTTGGAACAGATAATTTCTGCACAAAAGTACTGGGTACCTGGGCAACAGGGAGAAAAACAGATGGATTTATCATGAAAGCCCTACTAAGGGCCTGGGTGGGGGAAAGTCTCAGAGGAAGGATGAGTTTGAAAACAAAATCCAAAAACAAATGAAAGAAAACAAATAAATACAAATCCACAAATACACAAATGTAGGAGTGAGAAAATAGGTATAACAACATGTTCAGATGAAACATTTTAAGTAATTAGAGAATGGTATATAATTATGGTAATAAATTGGAAAATCTCATTAAAGTTGACAAGTTTGTAGAAAAATACAAATTTACTGAATTTTCTCAGATAAAGTAGGAAACCTGAATAGACCAATAATCAAGGTGAGAAAAATCAGAAGTTTTAAATTACTACCTCAGCAAAGGTTCTGGGCTTGGATAATTTTTCCTTAAGTCATTTAAAACTTGCAAGGATTTTAACATTCTATATTCTGTTCCAGAACACAGAAAAAGAGGATACATTTTTCTCTTTATTAGCATTAATTATCTTGATACAAAATATTCATCAAGATAGTAACTGCATAAAAGAAAGAAAACCGCAAATGGATCCTACTTATCAATATAAATATAAGGATTTTAACTAAAATGCAGGCAAGAAGAATTCACTGGGACATGAAAAATTAACATGCAAGTGATAATGTACTTTGANAACCGCAAATGGATCCTACTTATCAATATAAATATAAGGATTTTAACTAAAATGCAGGCAAGAAGAATTCACTGGGACATGAAAAATTAACATGCAAGTGATAATGTACTTTGATTGAGCAGAAATGTGTGGGCAAATATAAGAAAGATGTGATATTAAGAAATCTCATCACAACAGTAAATGAAAGACTTTTCCTTAAGCTGTTGTATTATTATTTTATAAATGCTAAAAATGCATTTTATAAAAATTCAGCATTTATATTTGACTTTTAAAAAGAACAGAAAAATATTTTATTAATATGATAATGAATGTGAACTTCAAACATCAACATCATACTACTGGTGAAATAACTAGAGACATACCTATTAAAGTCAGGAATAAGATAAAGATGTTGGCTATTGCCACTATTATTTAGCATTGTTGTGGAAGATATAGCTAATGTATTGTAAAAATCATAAATAAAAGATATAACTACTGGAAAGGCCGGACAAAAATCAGCATTACTCTCAGACAATGTAATTGTTCAGCTAAAAAACACAAATGAATCAACTAAAAAACTATTAGACTTAATAGGATAATTCAGTAAGGTGACTGGTCACAAAATAAATATATAAAAAAATCAATGGCTTGAAAAAAATCAATTTACTTTCTCGTAAAATAAAACTTAAAAATCCCATTCACTATAGCAATAAAAATAAAACTGAAAAATAATTTTTAAAATGTCTATTTGAAGAAAACTATAAAACTTTCTTAGAGACATAAAAGTGGGTTAGAAAAAATGGAGAGTTAAACCACATTCCCAGTAGAGATTCAATATTGTAAAGATGTCAGTATTCTCTAAATTAATCTATAAATTGAATGCAAGTCTAATTGAAATTCAAAC